GTGATTGGAAAATGAAGCGTTTGTGGTCATACCGTGCTGTGAGTAGCTCGATAGCCTTTCGACAATTTATCGCTGTGACTCTAGTGCCTGCACGAGGCGCGCTGTCTTGTCGGTTAAGCATGACCGAAGATACTGAAATTTTTCAATCTCTGATAGCTCGTTGTTGGTATGCACGAGCATGGAAAACATGTCGAAGAAATCTAGCCAATCTGCATGGTGGCCAGAAAATTTTGGTAATTGCAGCTTTGGTAAGTGGCACTTTGACTGCGACGTCGACGATAGAATGGGGGTGCTACTCAAGGTTTCGGGTTCAGCAGCACGAAGCTGAGCGAGCCGCCCCATGATAGCGGATTTTACGACGAAATACGCCGTTTCACAATTGGTACGATACATTCCTTCTAACTCGGATTCATCGAGTTCTTCAAGGTGCGACTGGATTGCTGCAAAATTGTCCAGTTGACGCTGCAACAACTCGAGCTTGACCTTGAGCATCGGTTTAGCCATTGTATTTAGTTCCGCTAAGTTCATGCGAGAACTTTCGAAACGCTGCCAAAGTAATTCCCGCCGTCGAACCTTAACGCGAATGTTATTCGACGCAGCTGGCTGCGTTGGCGTTGATTCGCCATCAACCGCTTGAAATTCCACGTTACCGTACATTATTAAATTGAAACAAATTACACGGAGCCGGTGTTTAAGATCCGGCTCGAAGGACCTTTATGTTGGGGCACAAAGAGTTTTTTGTTGCCCTTAAACAGAAAATTAAAACAACGTTTGATGTGCTTAACTAATTGTGAACTTTATTAAGAAATCAAAAAATGCAAGATTAGACGTGTGGCCGTGTCGAACGATGGACTGTAATTGTTTTTAAAGAATTAGCATAGAATGTACAAAAGGTAATTTCTAGTCGCGTTATATGTATGGATATCCGTACGTATATATGTACATATGTTCGTTTGTATGTACATATGTACGTATGTATGTACATATATACGTATTGATGTACATATGTACATACATATTTGCATAGCTAGCCAGTTATTATTTTTCTAGGCCGCTAGCGGGACATTTTTTGCTATGTTGGGTGGTTGTTGTTGGTCGTAGGTGGCGTGAGTTCCACTGCTTGACATTGGTATAGAACTCGATGTTAAGGTGGATGTCACGCGCAAGAGTGTGGTGGAGGTGCAATGAAAGAGTGCGCTTGAAACACCCTTCGAAGAGAGTGAGTTGGTGATGACAACGAAGATGCGAAGAGTGTGTGAGATGACGTAGCGGTTCTCCCCAACGATAATAAACGGTGCTACAAATATCAACGATGGTAAAAGGTGCGACACTAGTTGCTGT